CACATTGAGAGAGGTAAAGGACAGCTTGCTTGGCTGTTTCTGTTGCACTTCTCTGGGTGTGCACACCTAGGGTATACACACATACATGCACACATGCCTGCCTCCAAATTCCAGCCTTGGGTTGCAGAGAGATCACATGTATCTGATGAGTGTGTGCCTTCAGAAACACCAGATTAAACTTTGTTTACAAGGGAAGGCAAACTGATTCAAACACCATGCTACTGCCACGTTTCTCAGAGTTGCTTTAAATTTACACCAACACATATTCTGAACTATTGTTTTAATGTGAACGACCCCTTAGATTTTCTGTGCAGGGTGGTTGGCTTCCATGAGTAAAATTGCAGTTAATGTTGGCAGCTCCATTGGTGGGTCCCTAACTACTAGTCTATATCTCATGCTTCATCTGAAGTATTTTGCATAAGGTTGCTACTGAAATTATGATGTGACCACCTGGAGAATAATGCAGGAGAGCTTCTTTGTCATTGTAGAGGTCAGTTCATAAAATCAGCCTGAAATGTCTAGGAAATGTGTTCCATTACGGCCAAGAAAAATAAAAAGCAAGCAAACAAGAAAGCTTGATTATATATGGTGAGGGCAGCACTAGCATGCCAGGGCTGTGGAAATGCTGGGGGGAAAGGAGGGGAGCAGATTCCAGGGTATATGAAGTGAAATTCATGAAACCTGTCACTAAGTCCAAAAATCTGGCATCTGGAGTCAAACAGAAAAGTGTCCCTCCCTATTAACTATATTTTTTAAAAAAGACAAAGTACTTGTTCACAGCTTTCATGGGAAAAGAAAGATGATCATAACAAAATACTGTAGTACTGAACTCATGAAAAAAAATCAGTGCAATATGTGGTTTGATCTCACAACGAATTTCCTTGAGGAATATTGGACATGATTCATCCTAAACAGTTAAGTTTCACTGACACCAAATCAGGAAGTTAAACTTACTGCATCTACACAAAGGTTCTCAGAAATTTCTAGAGCTCTTGCACGTGTTCACTATGACCTTCCTCCCGTTGCACATGTTCTGCCTGTGGCATAGAGAGCCTCGGTTCCTTTATTTGTTTATTTATTTTGCTACCACTGCAGCAGCATCTTGACAATGGAGCTCCATTCTCTTTCTAAACAAAAATAAGATTGTTGAAATGTTTCATCACTGGACCTTCCCTCTTCTTTAAGTAGTGCATCTTCATCTTCATAAGCATCCTTCAGTCTCAAGAGACTATGGTAATGTGCTCTGTATGGAGGGCTTGGAAAAGCATCTATTGAATGTTGTATGCGAATCTGGAGTGTCCTCTCCAGAGCACGAAGCCTGGGTAAAATAATATGGAGGATAGGCTGTTACCCAAGCAGCAAATCCCCCCTCTCCATATCACTGAAATAGTCCAATGGAAAGGCAAGAGCCAATACAACTGGTTCCAGCGACGTCGCAGGAGTTGCCAGAACAACATGAACTGCCTCCGGGACTCTGGCTCCAGATTTTGCCTTGAGGTTAACTCCAGTGGATATAGCCACAAGGCAGTGGAGGTTTGAAATCAGAGTTTTCCTTCTCCTAGATGGGCTGCCTTGCCAGGCTGACGAGCCCCACCTACCCGACAAGCAGTGAATAGAAAAAGAGAAAAAAAGAAAGGGGGCGAAAGGAGACGAAGATAGACCTTCCCCTTCCACTTTCTCTTTCTTCGGCCATTCATTTATGGCCCCTTTGGGTCCTTTCAAATGGTGCATGTCTTGCTTAAACAAAATAACTTTAGCCAACAGGCATTCTCAGTACTTCTGTCTAGGAGAGGCACACCAAACTAATTTGTGTCAAGCATGCAGAAATGTAATGAAACCAGTACTGACGCTCTGCTTTCAACACCAATGCTCTTTCCTTTGGGAGAAATCTTTAAAACCTCCCCAGCACTCAAACATGGATCTGAATCAAACCCACAGTGCAGAGCCCTCACCTACCTCTCAGAACCATTCTCTAACCCTGAGACTAACACAGCCCATCAAGAAGTCCAAGTCAACCTCTTCAGGTGAAGCCTTTGTTATAGTTTTCAAAGTTGGCTTCAACCACTCAATCTACCATGTTGTCATCGAAGTCTGC